TATACATTAGAATTCGTTTACAAAATATTTGTCTTTTATCAAGAACATTGGTCTCTGAAAATAGCTTTTCACTGGCATATCTTATGTTCTTCTTCAACATTATTCTCAGAATCTTTTTTTGTATGATACTCAAATTATGTATAATATTTTCTGTTACACCTCCCCAACCTAAGATTCCGTAAGAAACCTGAGATTGCACAAGTGCATAGTACAGTTTTTTCAAGTTTTTCATATCCAAGAATTCCACTAAGTACTAGAATTTTGTGAGTAGATCTCTTAATTTGTTTTTCACCTGCTCGATAAGTAAATCCCATCTCAAGTGTCTATCAATTATTATTCCTAAATATTTCAAGTGATCTTTTTCTTCTATACGAGAGTTGTCTCTAATGTGCAGGGTTTCCAAGGTTGGAAGGTGGTTAGGGTAAGATGTGAAAGGCAAATAATATGTTTTTTGAGTATTGACTGTTAGTTTGTTGTATTTAAACCAGTCACATATACTACTCAGGTCTTGTTCTGTTGTTGTTTCAAATCTGCCAGATGGTAATGCCATCAAACTATTTATATATATATATAGTAAATAATAAGAGTCCAAGCACCGATCCCTGAGGTACACCTTAAGTGACAGTCCTTAGATGGCTTTTTATTTCTTCAATTTCAACTGTTTGTTTTCGATCTGATAGGTAATCTTTCAGCAATTGGTGTGTAGGTCCTCTTATGCCGTAGGAGTAGAGTTTTTGCAATATTCTCGAGTGGCATACAGTATCGAATGCTTTCGATAGATCTACAAAAATGCATAATAAAAGGATCTTCCTATTTAATGCGTTGTAGATTTTGGAAGTCAGCATCAGAATGACATCTTCTGCACTGCGATTTTCTCTAAAACCGAATTGGTTATCATACATTTCTCTAGAAACTTATATATCCTTTTTTTGGATGGATGAACGTTGGAGAAACCCTGAAAAACTGTATTATTTTACGAACCTTAAGAATAATTTTTGAATGCATTGAATATTGTCGACAAGTGAATACTTTGCGTATACTTCTATATTATGAACTACAATATTTTTGAAGCTTTTTCGATGATATCAGTCATTTAATCAATAATTATTTTAGCTGATTCCTTGTTTTCATAATACTTCTACTATAGCGATATTACCTGGTATACAATAGTTGCGACTGCAATTCCAGTTTTTTTTTTGAAATATCAGTGAGAGATTCGGAATTTCTCATTAACGGTGAAGTAGAAATTATATTCTACTGTAGAATATTCTGCAAATCTTGACAAACCGACAAGATGAGAATGTCCTTTTATTAGGTAAGAGAATCAAATTGGTATTCCATTTTTACATTTATCAGACAGTTCTCTTGAGAAAAAGAATCGGACCAGAAAACATTTTACTATTGAAATTACTAAAAATGAAAGAATCAATTGTTCCTGGGTCGTTTTTTCATTCAAGGATACGGGTCCATATGAATGTCTACCTATATCATAAGTCTGATGAATAAATATCCTGTATTCAAGGATTTGTATCAAGTAGACAAGTTTCCATATATGGGATACGACGTATTTTCCTAGTGGCCTTCACATTTTCAATTTGCCGGTTTCGCATTATTCCCGCCTGTTATTAAAATCACCAGTGGCGTATCAGTTGGTAGAAGTTGAAGAAAAAGATAACCATTCTTTTGTTTGCTAGGATGGATAGACCAATGGATTGGTCTGAATTTTTGAAAATAATATTAAAGTGGCTTTCAAAACTGCTCGGGATTCCAAGTGTTGGGAAATTCGAAATATGGGGTGACAAAAAGGATAAATTTTGTATTCACCAAATGAGAGCACTGCGATGAAAAGTTTGTTAGTTTAACTGAAGTAACTGGGCTTCAGAGGATGGCTAAAGAATAAGTGAAAAATGTTTGAAATTGTTGTGGCCGGTACATAACGACAGGTTGTCAGACGCCATTGAAAGTTTACCAATCGAAAAATTTGGAATGAGAGCCTCTTACATAGTGATATTAATACAAATTAACAAATTACTGGGAATCCATTTATTGAACCTCATTCGATGACCCCCTATTACCAGAAGTAACAATGCATATAAATAAACTCAGTCGTTATCATCTCCTGATGATGCTAACTTGGCAAAACGAGTGTCTAGAGACGAGTGTTTTTATTCTGGCCTTTTCCTCAGAATCAGTATTTCGTTAAAATAACACAAAACCATTTTTGAATCGTAAATCCCATGTTTAACTAACCAGAAAAGAAGAAACTGGTGATTATCATGTGAATGTACAAACTGTGTAATAATATCGCAGTCCTAAACTATCATTGTGTTTGTTGAATATCAAATCCATTCAATCTCTTTTTTGCGTATCTTTGTCTCCCAATCTAAATATTATGTTGTGATGTAGATCATTTAAAATTAGAAACGCATCAATTTCCGTTGCCAGATGTGGAAAACTGACCTTGACATAATTTTTGTGTATGTGCTATCCATTCAATTAACATTTGTTGCTTCGTCACAATTAGTTTTGAATAATGGGCTTTTTGATATATTTTTATGGCTGCATGATCAATATTTCCGAAGCTTAGATGAGCTTGCCTCCCAATTGTGACTTGGATTGAAGCTGCTCTTTCTCCCAGAACATATTTGCGCTTTCAGTTACCCTGGTTCTTTAAAACCGTGCCAAATTTCGTTCTTTTGGATGAAAGTGCAATGTTGGTGAATTTTTCAGTCACATATCTCTTTTGTGTTGACATCTAGAGATCTATAGCTATCCATTAGCTACCCGAGAACTTTCCAGTTCAGGTACATTCTTTCGAAAGACTTGACTAGTTTCGAGAACAGAATCTGACACTCTCAGAGTGTGATAGATACATAGCTGTTAAACAGTTCTAGCTAAGAAAAATCTTTCAGTTTTTCCTTACTCTGTTCAGTATCAAGATTACTGGTTTCATCTTCTGAATTTGTTAAGGGTTTAAAAACTTTGATGATTGATTCAACTTGGTCAGTTGGTTGGATAGTTCCACTTATGAAATTATCGCTACTAAAAATACGGTTTTGATCCCTGCTCTAGAACTCAACGAAAAACTTGTATTGCAAACTTCAAGCAAGGTTTTAAAATGTACGACCTTGTCAATCCTTAGTTGGGTCTCGATTTTAATATCTCAATTATTTTATATTCCCACACTATATCGTTTGGGAGAAATGTAATATATGTTGGAACATCAGTTGTCATTGGAGCCGTCAAATGAAGAGAACTGTTACTGTTAAGGAAAACAATAATTAATTGATAATTTCCTTGCCACCTTTCCGAACACAGCAGCAGAAATCGATCTGCAAGCAGCATCTGCAAGATTTTCCTTTTGACAGCACAAATGTCTGCCCAATACAATTCAAGGTTATTTGTGGTAATCAGTTGGTGAATATTTTTTCTATCATCACTTTTTCGAGATTTGAATATGAGCGATTCAGAATCGAATTGAAACTATAAATACTACACGTCCAGCACTGTGACTTGTGAGCAAAAACATCACTATTCTTGCATGGCTGAGGATATATGGTCATATTTCCGGATACCAAACGAGAAACGTAGACAGCTATTCTGAATACGCTGTAGTCGAAGAGTATCCAATTTTCTTGAAGCAGTTACATGAAAACTATGGCAATAAGAAATGTTTAACAGGATCAGTCCAAGTTTTAACTTTGTGTTGAGCAAATCACGATTTGAAAACAGCCGCCTGAAGATGTAAGAAGTTTGGTTCAGATAGCTGACATGCTGACATGTGTGGAGGAGTTCTGGATCAAACTACGATCCTAAATTTTTCATCTCTGTCACGAAGGGAAGTATTTCATTTTCAATGCGGACTTAAAAAGTGGGCTAGGTGAGCTCTCTGCTGTTGTTAGGTCCAAACATCTATATTGCAGATTCATTAGAATTGAACTTCAACTTATGGGTTGTAGAAATGTCAAAGATGACTAAGCAGATGTGAAATTACGAGACGAAAAAGAGAAATCTAACTGCGTGTCGTCGGCATAGTGACGTATATTGCATTTTTTCACAAACACAAATATCACAGATATACAAGCTAAAAAGCAAGGGTCCAAGAATATATCCTTGTGGCACTCCCTTTGATACCGGAAGAGCATCCGATATACTTCCATCCACAACAACCCATTGAATGCGATTCTTCAGGATTTTCGTGATCAACAGTGTCAAAGGCCATGCTATAATCCAGGTGAAATTCTCATCATCTACAGCTTTAAAAAGACCGTCGGTAATTTACATAAGAGCCTTGGTGGTACTATGCTGTGATCTGAATCTTGATTGAATAGATGTTGAGATATGATTTTCAGTGACATAATTATCAATCTGATCTTTTGGTATGAATTACACTACTTTAGAGAGACACGGGAGAATTGTAATTTGTCTCAGGTCATGAAGGGCTGTAGGTAAGTTACACTTAACCAGAGGGATAACCAATTCATCCTTCCAAAATCTCGTTACTTACTTGAAACCAATTGTCATAATCTGAAGTGAGCATGTCAAAGTAACTTTTGAAATGACCAGTTCCTCTAACAAATCAGTGCTGTTTAAAACTCAGTTTTTTCCTCTTCCATATCATCCTCAAAATATCATCTTTTCTAAAAGCCCTCGGGAAATTTCAACAGTTGGCTTTCGAAAGAACATTGTTCTTAAGACTTTTTCAAATTGGTTTTGTGTTGATTATTTTGCTAAAAAAATCCTTCAAATTGATGGAAACTGACATATCAACCATTCGAATGTAACTAACTAAAAATCACCAGTGAATTAAAAATTTTTGTTACTTCAACCTCCGAACAGTTGAAAAACTCCCTTTTTGACAGACATCCTCTGTCATCACGTCATTTACTGGGCACCATCTGTCTAAATTTAGAAGTGAACATGACAAAATAACTTAAAAAATGGCCCATTCCTCCAACAAATCAGTGCGGTTCAAAACTCATACATTTTTTCTCTTTCAGATCACCTTAAAATGCCATCTTTGCTAGAAGCTCTAGAACAGAAGTATGGGGAAAGTTCTACGGAGTCGGAGGGATCCGATGATGAAGGAATCGCCGTGTCAATTTTCGTGCCTTGCAAATCACCAAGAGCAGTTGTTCCTGCTTTGCTAGTTCTGAACGACTGCGACATAACGACAGCGGGGGAGAAGGATGTGTTGGTAGCTAAATGTGCAGGAGTTGAGGAACTGGATCTTGCCAAGAATAAACTCAATGATTGGCCAGAGGTATTTATTATGAAAACTTTCGTTTATTGGAGACCTCTCGACTACCCGGTTACCATTGTTTTTGCTAAATATCAGTCATATGAGGTGTTTGTACATCTACAGATAGAAAAAAATAGTTCTAAACAGTTATATTTGTAATGAAATGGTCACGGAAATGATTTATGAATGATGATCGCCATCTTGTTGATGCTTGTTATGGGATATCAAATACATTTTTTTAATGATCGGAATATTTGGTGAAACATTGAATATATTTTCGTATATTTAGTACAAGTACTCACCAAATTCGTCTTGAAACCTGTTGAAATTTCATAATATTATACTCATGAGTTTGTGAGTTATTGTGCTGCTGAGAGTATTTTTTTTGTACCTTAGATGCTGTCTGACTTGTTTATTTAGTCCAAGTCTCCAGAAAATACTGCAGCCTCTTGGGCTTATTGCGTTTATTCTCCCATCTTCTCATGACACACATTCCATCAGTCTCGTTCCCTGTGCTAGTTTGTACAGGTTCCGTGTTGGATGTTCGTCATATTCTTCTGGACGTAATTTCGTACGTCCATTTATTGCCTGCCTCCTGTGATTCAGTGCCTCACATTCGCCTAAGATGTGTAGAATTGTTTCTATCTCTTCGTTGTATAATCTGCTGCTGAGGTCTCCGATGTACAGCCCCATTTTATTCAGGTGTCCTCTAAGCGGACAATGACAGGTTAGTAACCCTGTAATTATTCTGAGCAGATCCCTACTATATTGAAGTAGTTCTTCGGTTCTTTTCTCGGACGGTTCCCTAATGAAGGTTCTACGGTGTTTGTTGCCAGACTTTTGTCCCATAGTCTGTGTGCTTTTTATTGGTCCGTGTCTTAATCTGGTTTCGTACTGATGATTTTGGTACCCCCAAAGCTGGTTCAGGACCTATATATGAAGTTGATGATCCGCGTCTAGCGCATTCATCAGCTTTATCATTACATGTGATTCCTGAATGCCCTGGCACCCAGTACAAAGTTAATTTATTCCTGTTTGCAAGTTCATTCAGTTCTTCATGACATTCCCAGACCAGTTTTGATGTCACCTTCGGGTTTGTCAGAGCCTAGTGCGCTCTTGCTGTCTGTAAAAATATTGATCCGCTCATTTCTTTGAGGTCTCAATTTAATAAGCCTTGCACACTGCAAGATAGCATACACTTCTGCCTGAAAGACGGATGTGTATAGTTCTAGCGGATAGCTGTAGTTTAGATTTCTATCCGATCGGTATATTCCAGCTCCCGTTCCATATTTGGTCTTCGATCCATCTATATACCAGGTGTTTCGGGATGACTAAAGGTCTTCCGCTCTTCACGGCTTATGATTTTGGCCGTGAAGTTTGTGTTAAAGGTGTACTTCAGTGTCATGTGGTCCGTGCACATATTCAGTATGTGCTCCTCCACTTCTTCCGAAAAAATCTGTACGGTCCGATCTTTTATAGTTCGGTGAGTTTTCCAGTGTGAATTGGCCCATCCTGGCCTCCCCTATTATCACAAATTGTAGAGGAGGTAGATTCAGGAGTGTCCCCAATGCAGCTATTGGAGTAGTTCCCATTGCTCCCGTCATTCCCAAACATGCAAGTGTTTGCACCTTGCCTAGTTTGTTGATGACGGATGCCTGCTTCATCTTTGGCCACCAGACCAGAGATGCGTATGTTATCATGGGTTTAACCACCATCGTGTATAGCCGGAAGCTGGTTTTAGCCCTATGTTTTTTCCATAGGTGCGTCTGGCGAGCATCAGTGCTACCTCCGCTTTCCTCTTTATCCTGTCCAAGTGTTGGTTCCAGGTCAGTTTGGAATCTAAGATTACTCCCAGATATTTAACCTCTCCCTACACTTGTATTTCTTCACCTCGAAGTTTTAGAGGTCCAAGACCCTCCGTTTTAGTCCTCTTGGTGAATGCCACTATGATCGATTTGGATGGGCTCATATTAAGCCCTTCTTTTTCGATTCATGCCGTTATAATGTTCAGGACCTGCTGCATGCATCCCTTCACTACATTATTGTATTTACCCTGGACTAAGATGACTAAGTCGTCTGCATAGCCCAGTGCTTTATACTCATCATGGTCCAAGAGACATAGTAGCTCGTCCATCACAAGGTTCCATAACAGAGGGGATAGAACCCCCCCCCCTGAGGACAACCCTTGCTACCCGTGCCACGACTGTGTCCCCCATAATGGTTGTATTTACCAATCTTTCCCTAAGCATGCAGTATATCCACCTACAGCTTGTCTTGTCGATTCCTCTTCTCCTCGACGCCTGGATGATTGACTCTAACGACGTATTGTCAAATGCGTCCTCAATGTCCAAGAAGAGAGTGATACTACTTTTGTTATTTACGAAACAATGGATCGGAAACAATTTCGTGTTTTAATTTCACACTGCTTCTTGGTGGTAAATAATACCGTACAAGCGAAGCAAAGGCTTGAAAAGTGTTAAGGACTCCGCACTATCATAAATAACAAATGAACGATGGTTTTCTGACTTCAAATGTGGTCGTAGAGACACCGATGATGCAGAACACAGTGAACGTCCAAATGAAGCAGTAACATCAGAAAACATAAAAAAATCACAAAATCATTGATGAATGATCGAAAAGTGATGTTGCGTGAGTCAGCTGACATTGTTGAGTTATCAAAAGAACGTGTTCGCTTCATATTGCATCAGTACTTGACTACGAGAAAGCTCTGATCAAAGTGGGTGCCGCGCAAGCTCACTGTTGACCAAAAACAAGAACGTTTTAATGATTCTGGGCAGTGTTTGGCCATGTTTTAAAATAACAAACCGGAATGTTTGCGTCGATATGTGACAATGGATGAAACATGGGTCCATCACTTCACTCCGGAATCAAAACGATCTTCATCTGAGTGGGGAGCAACTGATGAACCTCGTCCAAAGCGCCCGAAAGCACAACAATCGACTGGAAAGGTTATGGCTTCGGTATTTTGGGATGTGGCTTGGTATAATATTCATCGACTATTTTGAGAAGGGAAATACCATCAGTGAATGTTATATAGTGTAATTGGAGCGTTTGAAGGCCGAAATTACAAAGAAACGACCGCTTATGGCAAAGAAAAAATGTGATTTATCAAGACAACGCACTATGTCACAAGTCAATTGAAACAATGGAAAAACTACATGGATAGAATTTCGAAGTGCTCCCATATCCACCGTATTCGCCAGATTTGGCTTCCAGTGACTACTGGATGTTCGCAGACCTCAAAAAATGATTAGGAGTAAGAAATTTCTTTCGAATGAAGTGGTTATTGCTGAAACTGAGGTCTTTTTTGAGACAAAAGATGAATCGTTCTGCAAAAGTGCTATTGAAATGTTAGAGCGGCACTGGAATGGTTGTGTGGCTCTTGATGGAGATTACGTTGATGAATGAAGCCAATTAAAAAAAAAGCGTTTTCTTTCTTAGGCCCGGCATTTTTCAGGCCAGGTTATCTCTCCTCGATCCCATGGGTTGGGCTACCTGTCGGGCGCGTCCCCACGTGGCGGATAGGGGAACGGCCAGAGGACTGTTGGCCCTGTCCGGGAAATCAATGTGGCCTTACTCACTGTGGCCACTGACTCCTGGTCAGTGGCAGAAATAAGTTTGGTGAGGAGAACTACGACCCCCATAAGCCTTTGCAAAACATGCCACCGTGGACCAGCTTACCCAAGCTGAGGTGTAAGGAATCGTGCCGACAGCTGAATGGCCGCAGGGTAATAGGCGGTCACGAACCATCCCCTTGAGGAACTGGGCGAAACCTCATTGTGATCAGCCTACCTCTGGTAATGCGGGGCTCTGCCAGAGGTGACCAACTCTTCCCTTGCTACTCGTGGGAACACACATGAATGAAACAACACAAAAACAGAAACAAAAAAAAACAAAAACCAATCCCGAGGCTGGACAGAAGTACTCACCTCAATCTGAGGCGGTGGCTGGGGATGAACAGAAATGTCCACCCCAATCTACTGCTTGGAATGAGGCTGGACATAGCGGATCATCTCCAACAGCAATGCACTTCCTGCGGCGGGCGCCAAGAGCTCCGCCTTGAATAAAGGCAAGGATCGGCTGCCCCTGCAAGAAAGCTCCCTCACTTGTGCACCTCCACGAAGGGAACCCTAAGAAGGTTGAAGAAGCTGCGCAACGACAGTAATATCGCTGAACCTTCCAAAACCTTCGCGGAGGCCACCGTGAGACACCTCAAGGTTGCCAAAGAGAGTGTGTGTTCGGCGAGTCTTGTCCTACACCTGCCAATATACAGGAGGTGTCTCCTAGTGACCTGTTCACCTTCCTGGAAAGGACAGGATGGACGATGACCTAGGGGGACAACTCCTCAGGAGGATGTACAATCGGTCACATGTGGTGTAAGTGGTGTGAGTCTACACTCACCCTCCCTATTCTACAGATATCAGATACCAAATCTCTCCTCGATACAGTTTTCATGATTTTCATTTTTGTCAAGAGGATTGGTACATGGGATGTTTCTTCCCCCGCTCTTTCTCTCAGATGAAGGTTTCATACATGCAGTCCCTGGCACATTGTTGTTTGGGTAGGATCTTTCCCGCAATGATGATAAGTAATACCTCGAAAACGGTTTGCACGGGAACTACTTCATTGATTTCAGCGTGTTCCTGCTACTGGATGAACGAAAAACATCTGCGAGACTAGTCTCTTTGAGGAATTTTGCATAAATGTCTGTCGGGTATAATTCAATATCCAACGTGATATTAGCCGAGGAAGTAGTTGTTTCTAGTGTAGGTAATTGGAAGAGATAAATTTTCTTATTTGTATTTGCTAAATAAAACAACAGATAAAATGATTCTTAAAACGCTTCCACTACTGTTAATTATTCAATCACGTGATACTGTTTCAGTTTAAACAATAATATCCTTTGTCGAAATTTGAACAAAATATTTTGTTTTCATCATTATAATTGTTAGTTATTGAGTTTAAATATTGTTTTTTTGAAGTTTGGCTCATTTCCGATTGTGTTGAAGCAATATACCGAGAAAATGAGTTTTTAAAAATAACGTTTTCATCACATTGTCCACACATTGACTCATCTTTCCAGTTTCGTGATACAGTAATTATTGACCGGGATCTTACTCCTACAATAATTGTTTTTATCGTTGATTTCTCCAACCGTCAAAACAAATTCAGTTGGTTTTCAGACAATAATATGCCACCCAAAATTTGTGGATTAATTCTGTTTTATATGGGTGCAAAGTGCCCATTATTGAATGGAAAAGTAAACGTTGGGGCAAGCTAGAAAGGGTCTCGTACTCGTACTTACAAGAATTAGTCAACCCCGAGGGCGAGAAATTATGGATGAAACTTATAAAATGAATATTAGTGAACAATGAGCAATGTTTTCCTCTTGTAAAATAATGATAATTCAATAACTGAATTCTCACTACTAGGTTGTCCGTTTCAGTGTAATGTGTTTTTGTAGCCGTGTTAGGAATCATACGTTAAAAGGTAAGACATCGTTAGTCCTTAGCTCGCACAAGTTTCGCAACTTCTGAGAGTTGTCGTTCGTATGGGGGCGACAGCTGATTAACGGAAAAACCGATTTTATACAGATTTTCTTAAGTAGCTATGTAGTCAACAAAGGGATGGTAAAATAAGTGAACTCTTTTTCTGTTCTAGCTTTTGAGTCTTTATTGGCTCTTCATCAGGAACTCTACAATGAATTGATAATTGATTTTAATATTTATTTGGCGAATTGTGAAACGTGTGAAACTCACGAAAGTGGGGTTAGTAATCCTTATCACTTGCCGCGGTTTGTAACAAAGATTTGTGACAAGGATTACTAACCTCACTTTCGTTTCACACGTTTTACCCTTCGTCAAATAAATATTAAAATCAATTATCAGTTCATTGTAGAGTAGTTCCTGATGAAGAGCCAATAAACACTCGAAAGCTAGAACAGCATACAAAAGTTCACTTATTTTATCATTCCCTTGTTGACTGCGTACCCGAAAATTATTAAAGATTCTTCTTTAACTTAGACAGTCGTCGAACCTTCACATAACTATCTCAATGCATATGTATTCTACTGTGTACTCTATACATTGCTCTTCATTTTTGAACAGCAAATAATTCACTTCGTTGCCTCTTTTGATGTTATTGAGCAATTTTCTTTACGAATTCAGGTTGAACTATAGCGCTGCCGAAACAGTCCGATAAATTAACCAGGCAATGACTGGCTGGTATCTCAATCGCCACAAAAGAATCAACCAGGAAAGGAATTTCTGGCAAAAACATAACAATCTGCACTGATAGCAGACAAGCCCTATTAGCCTTGAACAGACAACGTGTTACCTAAGGGGCTAGTACTAGAGTGCCACCAAGATTTAGCCAAAGCCTCGGTAGATAATAACATTATCCTGAGGTGGGTTGAAGGGCACGACAGGAGTAAAGGTAATCGCATTGCCGACTCTTTAGCCAAGGAAGCGGCTGGACTGAGAATTTTAGGACCCAGTGGCACCTACGGCCTGATTACTTCGACAATTGCGGAACTAGCCTAATGACAAACCCATGCTTAATCCCTAAAGATATGGGATGAAATCAAAGGATGCAATCTTGCTAGGATCACCCTGGGCGACCCTGGGAAGCTGGCGCCGAAGAAATATCTGGCGATGAGCAGGAAAAATCTACACTTAACAGTAGGATTTCTGACTGCCCACTGTCAACTAAGGAAACACCTCCACAATATGGAGCTAGTGGACACACCTCTTTGCAGGATGTGTGAACAGGAAGATGAAACTGTCAGGCATGTCCCATGCGAATGTCCGGAGTTATCATCCATAAGAGAGTGTGTGTTCGGCGAGTCTTGACCTACACCTGCCGATATAAAGGACATGTCTCCCAGAGACCTGTCCACTTTCCTGGAAAGAACAGGATCGACGATGACCTAGGAGAACAACTCTTTGGGAGGATGTACAATGGGTCACATGTGGTCTAAATGCTGTGGGCCTACACTCACCCTCCCTACTCTACAGATACAGATGGGATGGCGGATGAACTGGGCGTCAGCAGCTCCCATGCGGTTTTTGATGATTTGAAACGCATTGGAAAGGTCATCAGTTCAAGTGTGTGCCTCACAATTTGAACGATCGATGGAAATGTTAACGTTTCGAAGTCTGTTCTTCTTTGCTGTTGAGCAAAACGATACTTTTTTGGATCGGATCGTCCTGTATGACGAAAAGTGGACCCTCTATGACAACAGAAGACGTTCAGGACAGTGCTTGGACACCTACGAGTCACCCAAACACTTCCTAATGGCGAAAACTCACCAAAAAATACCACGGTTATTATATGGTGGTCAGCAGCTGGAGTGATTTACTATTCCTTTCTACAACCGGACCAGACCATCACTATTGTGAGGAAATCGACGAAAGGTACCAAAAATTGCATCAGCAGCGGCCGGCAGAAGACGGAATTAATAGACTTGTGTTACGTTGGCAAGAGTTCACAGAAAACACATACAGATAGATATCTGAACTACCAGCCAGGTCAGCTGAGAGGCATCTACAAACCTGAGAGTTTCCGTAAGGAATTTTTAACAATTTAAAAAATGTGCTTTCGAAGGGAATAGGTATAGCGATGTCGAATTGGCCCCAGGAAAGATAACTTCAAGGTAACTTCAATGAAATTATTTCCTTCTGTATCTCCAAAATGTTGCGGACCGTTTCGAAATAATTGTGGAGAACCTAAAATCGATATTTAAGTCAAAAAAACCATCAGAGAGCTAAGATCCCTAGAGAGTCTTCAGCAAAACTGAAGGTATACCGGATCCCTATCAGATCTAGATTGGTCTACATCGGAACCACCAAAATTAGTGTCAGAATCCGGCTCTGTGAATCGAAATGAAATTATTGCTTTGGGCATAGCGCTTGAGTTAGTACAAAATTTTATAGAAAGGCGATATACATTCAAAAACTCAGAAAATTTCAGCAGAAAAGAGAAGGAAAGTAGTATACATTAATTTTGGCTATCTGTACACAGGAATACTCGAATCAGATCAATTATTTCAACCAATAAAAACAAAGTTCCAATTGACAGCCAATACTGATGTTTGGATTATTTACACCCCTAACGCCCTTGGGACGTTACATCATCGTTTTTGATAACGTGTCTATCGTCGTTGTAGACAAAACGTCAAGCATACAACCCTACATGGTCAACAAACCTAGAAAATAGATTTCAACATAGATCTGAATGTGTTATTGGAAGGTTATTTCTATTAATTTCAAATTCAAATATTTAGCCTGGGTATAAACAGTACCTAACATAAAAAATTAATTTTTTACGTTAATATATTCACAAATTAATCCAATATAGATATATTTAACATAAAAGATGACATCTGATTTTAGAATATTTAGTTTCAGGCAGAGCGAGATTTTGAATTATGGGTGTATTTTACTTTTCGTACAATTCCTTATTACCTACAATTAGTAATTAGACCAATGGACTAAACCTTCAAACAAATATCATAAGCACGTCTAATTAACAAATGCATGTTTTGCCAATATTCACCGACTTTGGCGTAAAAGATTTTTCTCAAATTAGACCTTGAGAATTGAGATGGAATGCTAAAAAATAGAACAATTCGAAACATATTTAGAGGTGTACTTGAAATAATTTGAGGAAAAACCTTATTACATTTGTGTACTTTGAAGTCCCAGAGACCCTTTCTTCTCAACTTAACTTTTCGGTTGATGCCATATTTATGTTTGCTCAATGTTAACCAACTGTAGTTGATTCTTTCAATATCTGCCAAATTCTGATTGGGTTTTATTTGTTATAAGGTTCCTGGAAAAGTAAATCGCCTAACTTGATTAGCGAAATGCGCGTCGAGAAACAGTTTTCTAGTTATGTTGTGTGAAAAAGGCATATTTTTTTGATTCATTGTACACGTCAGTGGTTCCAATTCTATTTTAACGGGTGTGTTTACATTTCATTATTCAGGTATTACTTATTTATTGACAATTCTTAGTCGCAGTTTCCATTTGAAACTTAACCACTCCCTCGTGTTTCAGGTGTTGGGAATCCTCCAACAGATGCCTCGCTTGAAATTCGTCAACCTCAGCTTCAACGTACTTTCCACGCCTCTTCGCGACATGCAAATTGAAGAAGGCATCAAATGGGCCTCCCTCAAGAACCTAGTTCTAAATTCCACCTACGTGAGTTGGGACAGCGTTCAAGAACTTCTCAACCACACCCCCTGCCTTGAAGAATTTCACCTCAGCATGAACAACTACAATGACGTCCGTCTCCACGACGACAGCGTGAAATGTCTTTGCGAGACCAACAAAAACACCATCGACGAAACCAATTCGAACGAAAAAAATGGGACCACCAAATGCTCTTGCCCAGCGTACAAGCTCAAACACAAGCACTCGGGGGTGCGGATTTTACACTTTAACGGAAACCTCATCGATAACTGGAAAGAAGTCACCAAACTCGGGTACGCATTTCCGAATCTGGAAACTCTGGTGCTTGCCGATTGCCCCATCAAGTCCTTGGATATTAAGAATGATGAGGAGGGGAAATGCAATCGGAACTACGAGAGATCGGAAAGTGACTGCGAGTCGGCTGTCAATGAGGATTCGCCTCACGACAGTTTTCGGAAGTTGAAAGTCATCAATATGAATGCCACGCATTTATGCACCTGGGACGATATCGAGAAGTTGGCCAAGTTTCCCGCCTTAGAATGTGTTCGGATTCAGGTGAGTTGATAGTCTTTAAATAGGGGTAACTTTTGAACTGTTATTGATGTTGGTGAAAACTATCACCAAATGGAGATGGAAGTAATGAATATACCAATGACTGACTCCCTTGCAAAGGCCTTCCAGGCCAGAGACAATCTGTTAAGTCTTCCTATCGAGGAGAGTCGTTTTTGGCAATTTGCTACCAATTTAGACGTTGCTCGGTAGGAGCCAAGAGCTTTCAATGCCGCTAGACTGTTCGAGTATATTTTTATTAACTTGTGATGAGGTTGGATTCTTCCAATCTCTCCGCACACAATTCAATAGCGTGAATGTCCGCTTGAAATACGGTCGCATAGGTTCTTAGGCAGGTTGATATCTCTGTCCTGGGTCTGCGACTGAAAACACCTGCACCAGAACCTGAAGGTGTTTTTGATCCATCTGTGAACCAACAACTATCTGCTCTTAATATTTCCTTTCCCCGAAGGAACCAGTCCTCTCTACTCGGGAACAGTACTGTATAAGGCAGTTCGTAGTTGACAGTTGGAGGCATCTGACCTATTGAAGGCACTTTCCACTCTCAACACTTCGTGGTCACTTTATGTCAGGACAGATATACCAGTATGTATGATGACTCACCATACATACTGGTATATCTGTATAATGCAGAGAAAAAAGAATTATTTTGAGACGTTCAATCAAGTCTCACAGAAACAAAATCAAATGGAAACCAGTAAATTGTACGAGTAGTTTGTTACTAAAAAGGGTTGAATATCTGGCCCATATTGTTTCTTAAGAAGGGGCAAAGACATCCAAAGCAATCAACAAATTCCTGATAACAATAGAAGATGCATTCCTAATGTTATTGAGCTAACAGCACCATTTGTTAACCTGGTCAAAAAATATGTGAAATTCGAAAGCATATAAAACCACCATTTTGTCATGAAGAATTACCAATTCTATTTCATAAACGCCTTATAATTTTGTGTTGAGTTCTGAGTTCTAAAAATGTTTATTCCCTATTTACTTTCGTCTGATAATATTACCTCTTTATTATTATCATGGTATTTATCTTACCTTTGAGCATTGTTTTCCTTCATTGATTTTTTATTTTATTTATTCCATTATACAGTGCATTTCTTTAATGCCCCCCCCCTTTTATATGGGATAGTGAAATTAATGCATGAAGTTAAAATGACAGATGAAACTTTCAAGATGGCGACTGAGCGCCGTCTGGGAAAAAAATTAAATGGAAATGGGGATCTTGACGAATACTTCACAACCCTAGAATATGAAGTCAATATCTTCACCTACTACAAAATAGCGGAACATTTAATAATTTCCTGAAGACAAACACATTAATATCGATATTTATAGAAATATGTCTTTTTATCTTCCAACAACTAAATAAGATTTGTTAAGTTATTTTTTGTTTATAAAAACGACAAAAAATGTCAGTAGGAAAATGAACATCATCGTTTAGTTAGAATATTCTCATTTAGTTTTCGGTTTTACTAGTAGAAAGGTATCACGTCAACAATCTCTAAAATGGCCAATTCTCGTCCATTGCAAGAAAAAATTGAAGCGATTCTTATTTACGGTGCGACGCGTAACTTTCATAGGCCGAAGGGATTTTCAATGAACGTTTTCCGAATCGTCCTATCTGTTGAAAATTCACATCTACCGGTAGTGTACATAACAAAAAGCCCCCAAGTCATCCGTCTATTTCGGAAGAACAGCAAGTGCAACTATGTTTGTGAGGTGTCTCCTTCTACTGTGTGGAGACTTTTGAAGAGAAATTGGTATCATCCATACAAAATTAAAATGTTACGCCAATTAACTGAAGATGACCTTGATCGAAGAATCAATCTGAGAAATCATGACGGAAACCATTGCAAGGCATCCTACCTATCTCCACAATATTCGTTTTAGTGACGAGTATACATTTTTTAACGACAATGTTCACAGACAAAATTGTCGTTAATGGAGTGACACCAACCCTCACGTTTTTCGGGAAACACATACCCAATATCCAGAAAAAAATTACGTTTGGGCAGGAATATTGGGAAACCATATTGTAGGACCTCTATTTATTAATCAAAATTTAACAGGGGAACTGTATTTGAAAATACTGGAAACTACTGTTGATCCTCTCATCACTGAAATCGTCGAAGCGAATCCTAATGAATTCGATATGGATATTGTATTCTAACAAGATGGAGCACCACCACATTACTCCAGACAAGTAATAAACTATTTGGATACTACTTTTTCCGATCGTTGGATTGGCCGTCGAGGTTCTACAGAATGGCCAGCCCGCTCGCCAGATTTGACACTTTTGGACTCTTTTTATGGGGCTATTCGAAGCAAAAGGTGTACGAAACTGAACCTGCTTCAATATTGGATACACGACAGAGAATAATAAATATTTGTAAAAATATTGACGTTACTGTGTTCATATATCAAGAAGTTCAAGGCAATTCATTTCGAGCATCTTCTGAACTGACCTCAAGCCTATTACCTCATACTATGTAGTTAAATGTCAATGTATTCAGGCAATTATTGAAAGTTCCGCCATTTTGTAGTAGTTGAAGATATTGACATTATATTATAGGATCGTGAAGTATTCGTTAGTAGCTTCAAAATGATGTGTCACAAGACCCATTTTTCCATTTAATTTTTTTCCCAGATGGCGCCCAGTCGCCATCTTGAAAGTTTCATCTGTCAATTTCACTTCAAAACAAAGTATTCATGCATTAATTTCATTATGCCAAATTTCAATTTTTTGAGTAGACCCGTATACTCATCTTTAGTAGCCGTTTCACTCATCGATTTCATACCTACTTATTTAGTTATCTTCATTCAATTATATAATTTCCATAATTCTGCTTTAGACTTGTCCTTTGTGGGAGAGTAATGAATATACAGAGCACGAAAGAAGACAATTACTGATAGCGAGACTTCCAAATGTAAAAACATTGAATGGTGGTGGAAAGATTACCCCAGATGAGAGAGAGGATGCTGAAAGGGCTTTCATAAGATATTACATGGATAAGCCGGAAAGTGATCAACCTGAACGGTGAGTATACAAGTTTAAACAGACTCTCTACCGTCTTGTTAAATAAGTGAAGTTTGGTTGTAATCATCAATAATTTGGACAATTTTAAGAGAAAACTAACCGCAATGATCTGTGAATGAAGGAACAAATAATTTTATATGTATTAGTTAAATTATATTGTTTCATTCCCAATCAAAAACAATACTAATATTGTGGTCACGAAGTTTCATATCCGGTTTCACTTCTCATTCTGATATCCACCTTCATTAGTGCTTTCCAGCATGAGCTACCGAATCCCAAATTGCATTTCAACTGACCGAAGATAATCATTAGAATGCTTTTAGGATTTCTCTTCAATTAGCTTGACCTTCCATATCACGTTCTACGTACATTGCACCGAATGAAAACATGCGAATCAACCTTGTAGTGTGTGACAATAATATTTTTTTGGGGAGAATATTTATTTTGCTGGAATTGGCTCCACAAAGGTTCACTTATGACTTTTTTGAATAAAAATGAATTATAAGTGCATACAATCATTAAACAAGTAATACAAAATTGGTATTTGGAACATTTCAATATTCTTCCTATGAATTTCAACTATTCCAGGTTTCTGGTTATGATTCGAAAACTACAACAAAAAATACAGGTCCGTATTTTAAAATTCAAAGATGGGGGTGGCCCAAGTCAGATGACACCCTATATAAAAGATTCATGGATATATTCTGAGAGCCCACATCAAGTGTTTTTCCTGTATATCTCCAGAACCAAAAGAGCTATATTTGATTTCTGCACATCATTGAATAGGTCTCTGAAATACGCAACTTTAACCGACACTCTATCTCTTATCGTTTACAAGATACCCATGTACAGAAAAGAATTTGAATAGCCTTGTATATACTACTGGCCTAACTACTACCTGTTAGTAGTACCTTGCTCCTATTGGTTAGTATTACCTAACTACTACCTGTTATTGTTCCTATGTTAAACCACCTATTTTATAATACCTCTAATTTGTTATGTATTTCCTTTATGTTGGTGACTATCTCCATTTTTGTTTTTTCCTGATATTAATCTGTTTTATATTCAGAATTATCAACTATAAGATCGAACAAAGAGCTGTTCGAACTAGGACCTTTATCGCTATTCATAGCGACACACTTTTCGATTTCCAATTTTTGGAATGCATCCAAAAACCTATAAATTGTCATGCCGGCCTCAACAATTTTAAACATTTATCACTTGTTCTGTGGTTGTTCTCCATGGCATTTTGAGCGACACTAGATTTCTCCGGTCTATGAAACCGAATATGCGAAACATGTTCCTTGTAGCGAGCTAATACAGTCCTTTAAGTTTGACCAATATATTTCTTATCACAATCCTCGCAGCTCATTTCGTAAATCCTAAGGTCCTATTTCGAACAACCTTTGTTTGGTCTTATACCTAACAATTCTAAATAAAAAACAGATAAATATTAGGGAAAAAAGGGGATAGTCACTGACATAGACTAAATACATAACAAAATAGAGTTATTTAAAACAGATAGTTCAGCATAGTAACAATAACAGGTAGTAGTTAGGTAATACTAACCGGTAGTAGTTAGGTACTGCTAACAGGGAGTAGTTAGGCCACTAGTATATATAAACACCAACATAGTAGTAAAATTTAGTTATAATGATCTCCTGAGGACGCTAACTTGGTTATCGAAACGCGCATCGAGAGACCGTAATTTTGTTCTGGTGTTGGGAAAGTGGCTTCAATAGATTCATAGGTTCCAGTACGAACTATCAAATTTAAGCTATGAAGGGAAATAGCTACATTACCAATAGCTGATGATACTGATTTTTTGAGTTCTACCTGCAACTATCAAACTATAAAACATTTCAAAAAATGGTTCATTTAGAAAACAAAGAAATTGATATACTAAACCAAACAAAAGAATACATTCAAAGAATCAGAGATGAATCATACTTATCTTTCATAATGTACAAATATATGTTTACCAATCCATTTTCTAACACATCATACGCACCGAAGTATTTCAATACATTATCACAAAATAGGAAATGTTGGGAAAGTTTCAAAAAAATTTCAAATTTCTAATAGAATTAGAACCACATTCGATTCAGGAATTCCTAGATTGCTTCTAGTGGTTTTTTACACTTTATCTGACGTTATTGCATTTTTTATGTCATATTGAACAGTGTCGAATATTCTTTCTGATATATTTCGATAAATACTTTCAAATGAGTTTCTGATATACCCACAATAGTTATAATATTTACACTACTTTAATATTTCATAGGTACTTTGAATTGGTTCAGATTCATGGAAAACTGGATTAATATAAGCTCGTTTGATTTGTAAATTTCATATGCATAATATCAAAAATTAGCCTCAAGCTCGTTTAAAGATAAGTCCTGGACTTTGGCAGCTTATGGTCATATTCTTCCTATAGTATTATTTCTGGCTGCGGCGGTTTAGAGTAAGCCAAACTTTCACTAACCTAGCTTTCTGCCTGTGGTGGGGACTGACAAGTACCGACAAATAAGATATTATATACCTACAACATTCAACCTTTCGTGCTTGTGATAATTTCACTGCCAAAGGAAAAAGTGTTTTTTGCCTTTTGCGGCTGGACCATACACCAATCATTTTTCACTTCATCTTAGATACGAGCATGGCGTATGAATGCTCCCATTAATTTACAATGTGACAATTTTCGTGAAGTGAAAGTTAAGTATATGATATGTTACTTACATGTATTTAATGCAGAAAGTACCACATATTTTTTCCTCATCAGCTTATTCGATTTCCGGTATTTTTATTTCTATTTTGTGTTTTTTAATATTGAGGGCATTTTTTGTTTCCATCTACCAGAATTGAGTATCCAAATTTTGTATTATCTTGTCTGTACCTGAGATACTTTCTACTCAAACAAAAATATCCATACATTATTACTTGAATTACACAATTCTGACTAGTTATCTTTCATTTTACATAACATTCTTCTTCTCTCTTTTTTTATTATATTGAAACACATCCACTAATGGTCCATTTATATATGAATTGATAATAGATCTATTGGGGTCCTTTTTGAGTATGTCAGTGTGTTATTCACTATGAAAAAGCTACTATGATGGCGAAACATGTCGTGAAATTTTGAAAATAAAGTTTGTGAAGATCAAATTGTTTTCCGTATAGTTTGTGAAATTACCATGGGTCTTCATCAATTAACATCCAATAAAATCAGAAGAATCCATAGAAAGATATCCAGAGGATATCCTCTGAACGTTCATTTAACGTCAACGTTGCCAAATAATGGACTTTTCATAGATATCCATTGAATGTTCCTTTAATATCCATAGGGACAAAACTTGCCAGATGTCCAATGGATATCCTGTGTACTGAGTTCTAATATTGACTAATATGTCTACTTCTAAGGAGTTAAACTTATGAGTGAAATAATTTAATTTTTTTACAGCACATTGAAGAGATGAGATATCCCAATAAGAGAATCTACAGTTACAACCTGCGTTCCGGCGATGAAATTTTTGTAGACTGTAAGAAAAAGCTGAGTGAATCCAAGTAAATATGGTTTTATTTTATATGAAAGATTAATTTCTTCACTTTGAGTTACATTAGAAGAACTAGAACTATTTGGTTTATTAATTATATTTCTGTCAAGGAAAAAAATTGAAAAATGTTGAATAGTATTTTGAAAGTAGGTATGTACCTATGTTATATAAGAGTCATGAAATGACGGCAGCTATTTTCCACCCAGTGGTCAGTTATCATAAAGAATAATTTATGTTGTGTTATTTCATAAGACTACACTATAATGTACATTGACTTATGTCTTAAAACTTTTTTGTTTTATCTATCGTTATCTTAGTTATTTCTATGACTCGTAAAAATACTTCAGGTCACTATTTTTTTGTCTGCCTTGTATCTGACAAACAAATTACTTTCCAATCTGTCCTATATCTGATACAAGCGAGATAAATGTTCCAAAATCGATTATTCTTAGCTTTTTCTGTAAATTACATTGCATCTTGGCAAGTTTTTACTTGCCAGAATGTAATCTTGATTACGAGAAATAATAAACACTTCCATTGAGAGTCTATTCAGACCAAAATGATCATTTAATCCATGAAATATGTACAGCATATTTCAATTCTCGCTTGTTTCTTAACTTTCCAGTCTGTACTTAATCTTAAACTTATTTTTTAAGCATCACTGAAAGTCAGGAGAAAGAAATGTATGGATTGAAATAATCCACGATTGTTGAAGATTGTTGAAGCAGAGTGAAGTAAAATACACGTTAATTTGAGGAGCTATTACTAATCTAAAATATTATTTAAGTATAACTGTGATACATATTAGAAATTATGATATTAGGAGATGGTTGTCATATGAAAGAAAAATAGACTTTGAAAATGATCTACTCAGAGTTTTTCTGCTTCCAGTGTAAGTATACTCGTAGACAGCTGATTTTCCTAGAAGGCGAGAAAAATTATTTCAGCGATGAGATAATTCAGAGAGTTTTTGGGTTGAAAACAGGTGAGCCGAGATGAGGAAATCTTCAATTTTGATGTCACTGATTTCATTAACATCACATTTATTCCTATAATAATACAAAGCTACTAATGCTGTTCTTAAACAGCAATATACGACAGAATTCCAAAACTTTTCAGAATATCCCACAACATTCTCAAATGTGGTAGAATGATCGGTAATAGTCTAGACTAGAAGGTTGGAGAACATCCTGGAACATTATAGATCATTGAGGAAAGATGGGGGAGGTATAGCTCCTTCAACCTTTATCCAAGAAGAGGATTTATTTTTTCATCTGAAGGTTTTTTCACTCTATTGCAGAGTGTTCAAGATCATTCTACAAAATTCCAGAACATACCGAGAGATTCTCGAATGTTGTGGATTGCTCAGCAATGGTTTGGAACATTGGGAAAACTTCCCAGGTTATAGGGAAGCCAAAAAAGTTTCAAATACTGTGAAAATTTCTTAAACATTGTAGACCATTTGAAGCTTCTATTGTATAGATGGGGCTACCCATTGGTGGGGGTATATGGAGCAAGATCTGTAGATCTTTTATGATTTTTAGGTTATCCTTTTTTTCCACTTACGATACAATATCATATATCAACTCCCTCAGCGAATCCCCAGCTAGTTAAAGTCGAAATTTCGACTTCAATCTTGTAATTTCGAGTTTCAAATAGTAATTTGAATTCAAAATCGAAATTTCGATTTTAAAGGAGTTAACTCTATGGGATCTATCCCATGTATTTGTGGTTCCGCCTAGCACCACTGATAAGGCCTTCGGCTGTTGAATCATAAATGCGTTTTGTTTGTACTACTGTCGATAGTGTTGAGAATCTATGTAAAGCTGAGACCTTGTTAATCGACATTCGTCTCGACTTTTAAGGATTGTTTGTATGGGAACGACAGTTGTTTAAGAAAAACCCATTTTTTTGGCAAACAAGTTCAATATTGAACAAATGAAATATATTTTGCTTTTCGAAAATGAATTGTAATCAAACTTCATTTTAATCATTTTCAAAATCTATATATTTTATTATCTTTCAATTATTGTGCAGTGTATGGTGTCGTCGACTCTCATTAATATTTATGTTCTCTAAACAAAAATTTTTGGTAATGAGGTTCGTCACTAATATAATGTGCAGATCATCACCGATGTTCAAATCTAGTATCCTTTGCCACCCATAGTCTTCAAGAACATAGCATATGACACCATTGTTTGTATGGTCTGAAAAAAATTCAAAGTTGAAATATCAGAGACAGTTTCTAACTAGCAAAGTATGAATATAAATCAGTTACATATGTAACTAGCATTAAATATTGTTGAGTACATATTTGATCAATCTACAAAAATAAAACTCTATCCTCCATCTGTTCAGAATAATGATGTTTTGGTTTATTTTTTACTGACAGAAATTGTATTTGAATTCGTGAGGTTAAATGCGTCATTTTTCAACATTGCTAGGAAGTCTTTAAACAAATTTCTTCAGTGGTTCTTTTTTTGGCTTCAAAATTTTCACCTGTATTCAATTTTGAAGAATTGCTCAGGAATTGTCAAACAAAAATTCTGCTGAAACCTTGCAACTTGCACTGCAGTTGTAGTTGTTTGAGTGATATAAATTATTTTTCAAATATAAATTTATTTAGCTTTGAAGAAACTTACGGCTAATCCAGTTCTCAAATCCATAGGAGAGAATTTCCCTGCTTCAATAAGAACGCTTTTTTGTCCGCGTTGTATTATAAACCGAATATCACGACTGTATTTGGGATGTTCATACCATTTACTGCAATAAGCACTATTGGATATTTCAGAAATCTGTAAAAAATACGGTAGCTCAGGAAAATAATGTTTGGTCGAAAATGTTATGAAAAACATAGTATTTCTCCACCTAACGAGTTCTAGTTAATCTTGATTTGGGGTCCCTCAACACTCTCGAAATAATGTATTTCAACTTCCAAAAAAGGGATTTATTTATTTGTATCGAAACAGACCAAAGGTCTAATTACATGGATAATGAATAATCAATAATTATAATATAATTTATTTTGTATTTTCTCGGTTGCATCGATTGTGGACCGATATTCACCTGACCATATTATACTTGTAATTTTATAGTATTGTTATTCGTATGTCTAATAATGAATAATAACATTCGATTTGACGATTTATAACCAAAACTAACAGGATCCTTCAAACGAGTTATTGTGATGATTCTACATTTGTTAATATTAAACTTCAATTTGTTTGTGATGCTCCATTCATGAATACTGTTGATGTCCCTTTGCAAATTAACACAATCCCTAACTGTTTGTATCTGTTTATATATTTTTAAAAAGCAAACATTCAAAAAATTTCAAAATGGAAGGGAGATCATTTATGAATAGAACAAATAATAGTGGTCCAAGGTTAGATCCTTGAGGAACACCAGAGCTAGCATAAAACTTACCTGATGTGTTACCATAGTGTTTAACATAGAAGTATCTATTTTGTAAGTTACTTTTCAATAATGAAATCCATTTATATTTCACTATGTAAGTAATTAACAGAAAATAAATAATAATTGCACAAAGAAACTCTCCCTCGGTTATCTTAAAGATGCGATTTTCTTCCGTCCTTTACATAAAAGAGGACTTATGCTTCTCCACTCACAAGCGACTTTGGTGAAATTGGTGACACGTGTGAATCGTTGTATTTGTGCCACGCGCTATTTATTTATTCAACGGGTAACCCCCAATTTGTATACAATATATTAACCTTAGAAAGTTAACTATTCAGGTATCTATATATCTAATAAATCAACCTACAATCAAAATAAAACTGTGATGAAAGAAATGCATAATTAGTAAACATGAATAGATTGGTATTATTGATTGATTGTTAACAAAACCATGCTGTTTTTCCATGATACATATTTTTGCGTAGTGAATATTCGTGTATAAATAATTTGCTCAAATGACTTGGCTGGAGCACATATTATGGAGACAGGCCGATAATTTTCAATGTCACATGTTTTACCACTCTTATAAATAGGTGTTGTTATAGCAGTTTTCCACAAATCTGGAAAAATATTTGACTTGATAATAAAGTTGAATATGTGCAGAAGTGGTAGGTATTTTTACCCAATCGCCACAAGCTTTCAGAATGTATGGGATGATCTGTGGATTTTTAATAATTCGCCATTGAACAACATCTTTTGGGAGTATCATCCCAAAAGACTTACAACTCATTTTTATTACCTCGTCCATTAATGCTTGAGAAGGGTAACAAAAGCAAAGCATGAAATCTGTGCAGGTAGCGGCGATGTAAATCAATCCATCTCTCATTGTTTCCAAATCAGACCTAAAAACAATTATACATTACAAGTTTTGGACATCGAGATGGTGAATCTATTCAACTTACTTCATCATGATGGTGTATATTTCGAAGCTCATTAACAAAACCTCGATGCAAAGAAGATGGAGCAGAAATATTGAAAAGGTTTCGTTTATCATATGGGCATATCTGAAAAAAGTTATAATTCGAAATTGATTGGCAATTCTGTTTTTTATTCTCAAACCTGTATTTGAAATTTCACGTTATGCCCGGAAGTATTCATTTTCTTCCTTATGATTTCAGTTGTAGAAATCTCATTGCTTTTGTAACAATCGTATATTCTGTAATCCTGTATCACATCGCGTCTTGCGTTCATTAGGTTTGTTTTTGACTATTTTACGAATAGTTGAGAAAGGAATTTCGGTCAAATCTGATGTTGCTTGTGATAGTTTGTTTCCCTCGAAACCCTACTTGAGATGTAGATTCTTATATACATTGAAACATACTCTCTGTGTTTCAATATTCAAATGCTTCCGAATCTTATTCACTGGTATCTCTTTTTTGCATTATTCACCATCGCTATTGGAATCACTACACTGGAAAAAGTCTGCGTTGTTATCACACTCGTTATTACTATTAGTATTTGTCTAAGGACGCCACATTTTAAACAGGTAGCAAAAATTCCAAGTTATTATATAACTGCACCAATATCGAATTTCAACAATCAAATCGCGATCAGTTCCTGAACTGAAGGCATGCCCGCATGCCCCGATTTCTATTCGTCACCGTAACATGACTTCAAATTTAATTTTATGACTCTTCAGCCAATCATAAAACTCGGTATGTAAAAATTATCCAATACAAACCGTCAATTCTACAGTCCACGTCGACTAGTTCCCTGCCGATTCATTTCTATGTATTGTTTTTTTTTGGCCTTTGAGAGTGCCGCCAACTTTAACTGCACACAATATCGTTTACTTCGACTATATCTGTATATTTGTTTGTGTGTGCTTTTCGTTCCCTGCTTCATAATTAGGTTAATTTCATAGAATAGTGCAACAATAAATTAATGGATAAATACTAACCGCAGTAAAAAATTGTGATATTTAACACATTCCTTGATATTCGTATCAATATCATTTCCATCATTATTAAAAATTCTTTTCACTTTTTCGTTCAGAATTTTGAACTGAACTTGAGTCAAGCGAACAGTAGTCATGAAAAAGTAATCCATTGCCAATACCGGCAGCATAATTGTATTCATCGAAACTAACTCCTGATATATCAAAACCCAGTAGTATCCCAACCAGCTTGGTACGTAGCAATCGAAGGGTAAAGTGTTCCCTTCGGCGAAAATCGGTGGAACCAGAAAAGCACCAGCGGTGTAACAATGGAGAATGACTGTGAACACAAAGGTATTTTTGATAACTTTATTTACCTTCGTGAATTCACTTTTATAGAGGCTCGATTCGAAATCGTCGATGGTTGAGAACTGTTCCATTTCGACTAGTAGGGCTGCTACTTTGGATTTGTTGATGAAGATTGCTGAGGATTTCAGGATACCCTTCAAATTAGAAAAGATAAGAATTAATGGCGTTTTCAGTTATTTGCTATATATTGAAATTAGGAATGCCAAAATTATGCATTATTTCTTATATGTGCTTTGTGGTAACAACAACGGTGGCCCCTTATTATTTTTCAGGCGTTACGACGAGGTCTCCCTCCGTGAAAGTGCAGTATCATACTGAATGAAGAACAACTGTTAGATGTTTACTCTTGTGAATTCTGGTCTATCTTATGATGTGGTCTTATGGGGAGACGCAACAAATATCAACAGGATCTTTGTTGCTCAGAAACGAATAATTCGTATGCTTCACAATCTACGTCATACTGATTCATGTAGACCTGTTTTCAAGCAAAGGAAGATATTAACAGTACCTTCTTTCTATAAATATAACTGTCTGCTCTTTGTGAAAAAACGCGAACTCGAA